CAACGTGATGTTTCCATTGCACACTCTTTGTTTTTCGCATGTCTTTGCTTTATTTTTTGGTAATGTCACACAAACCTATCGGATCAGTTTCATGAATATCCATTAAATAGTTTTTGTTTTATCCTGTGTTTTGCCTTTGTTGCTTATTTTTTCAGCAACAGCGTGGTTGATGAAGAGGAATAGTTTCTCTTAGAATGTATTCTACGACTGCATCCATCCCCTGTGAAAGAGAGTTTTCATATGATTTGCCATAATCGATTAAAGAGACACGATATTATGATCTTAAGATACATTTGGTATTTTTATTTGCATTATATGTAGTTCAGAAGTTAAATCTCAACATTTAATCAGTTTAAATAAGCTTGATATTATAATTAAAATTTTTCAGCTCAATAAGCTAATTTTGTTTTCCTAAAATCCGGATATCAGATTAAATAAATTAAAACAATTCATTTACCTGATTTGGTTTCAGAAATATTTCTGTATTCATTAATTCGATTATTGCGATATTTGAGATGTTTCTTGATTTGAAATGGAAAAAAAAAAGATATCCTGCAATTCAGTAACAATCAAATAAATTTGTCAAAGACCTATGAAAATTAAAATCTTCCCCACTGATGTAAACATTACTTAGGGAGTGACCACTGACCTAAACTAATGTCGGATCCTGTTGAGCACTGCGCTTAATCATCTACTTGTCAACAGCTGAGAGTCATCGGAAAAGGGGTACGACTTATAATACAGCGACTTTCAGGAAGGAGAATGTTTGCTATTTTCCAGGTGATGGATGGGCCCAAACGTCGGATGTTGAACCTCTTTCCCTATAAGACTTGGACGTCGGAAGTGATGGAGAGCTTTCTTTCCTCCGTCCCCACTTCTGCTTGCCTTTGTAAGGACTTTTCGACCAACCATTTAAGAGACATAGCCAAGCACCCCGTTTTTTCCTTTCAACGACAAGGAAGTATTGGACTTTTTTAAATAAACTCCCTACCACCATCCATTCACGCGACATTCTTCTTGCTTATGGGTGTTAGTTGTAAGAGAAAAATAAGAGGTTCTTTTTTGTACTTTTGAAAAACGAGTAAAATGCATTAAAATTAATAAAGAACAAGAGACCTGAAAACTACCGGCGAGAGTGAGTTGTTTTCAGATGGCACTTACCTTGTTCATGCTCAAGTTTGTGCACATCAACTTGGGACATTTCAATTTTTTTTCCCGTTAATCAAATTTATTTTCTTTAGTATATTGGAGAATTCAATTTTTAGCAATGTAATGTAATTGAAGAAACATTTGACAATGATATCTTTCTATTTTTATCTTTTTCCCATTTTTGTCATGAAAATGCAAAAATTATTTGATCTACAACAAAAATGTTTCTTTTAAGCGCAGCTGACCCGACTCTTTTAATGTAACGAGATCTTTTACACTCTGATTTTATTTTAACTTTAGTTTTGTTTTATTTAAAACAATTTGCTTTGTTACTTTCCTTACCGACTGAGATATCATCTTAATTTAAAAAAATGTATGAAAATAAAAATAATGTAAATTATTACTGTAGACATTTTTTGCCTTACTGTGTTAATGCTAAAATATAACAGCGCCAGAAGAACAGTGTTTTATTTTTTCGATGAATACTAGGGGCACAATTTAAGAAATCATACTAAAATCAAGAAATGAAATATTTTAAAATTTTTTCTTGGTCATAAAATATACGCTATAATATAATATAGGAAATCTGCACCGTTTGCAACGCTGTAGTTGTACAGTAATGTTCCAAAGATCAATATGATAATATGCTTCAAGATTTATACGAAATGCCATCTATATACGAAATATTTGTAGGAAATCCTCTGTTACTTTGTAGGAAAACCTCTGTTACTGTTAGTTAATCTTCACTAATGCGAGCTAAGTAAAATCATGCTAAATGAAAATTCTTAATTAATAGGAATAATTATAATCATTTCATCGACTAGCGTAAATATAAAAAGAGTGTATAATAATCTCTATGAGAGCATAAAATAAAAGTTAGTGAAAAATCACTTAACTTTTATTTGGCACCCGAGCACTTGATGTTGTTTCCGTTTTGCAAAAAAATATCAAGTGAAGATATCTAATTCAAGGTTTCCTGTTTATATTCAAGAATATGAATGAGATTGATTTTGAGTTGCTTAGAAAATGCATGCTGATTTTCATAGTGTGTTGACGTTAGTTTTTATCGAATGCAGCAAAAAATATAATTTTGCAATTTATTAAAATCTGATAAAATGTTTAAAAGTTTTACTAATAAAATGTATTTATCTCCAAACCTAAACTCATTTAAAAGGAACAGAGCTTAAATATCTTAATGAAAAATGCCATTTATCGACGAATGTCGACGCTTACACTTTTTTCAGTAAGATGTAGACGTGTTTACATAGCAATATTTTCATTGCCGCCAGATTTTTGTAACAGAAAATATATAAATGGTTAATGTACCGATTCTGGACTCCAACTGCAAATTTTGGATTATTTAGGAAATTACTAAAATTACCTTTCAGTAGTATTCGAAACAGGGGAGTAGCGAGCATAATTGGCGCCCGGGGCAAAATACCTTTTTGGCGTCCCTCCCTCTGATAAAAGCACAGTGATATGATGAAAATCTTGTTTGGAGACCATTTGGCGCCCCTCTGCGAACGGCGCCCGAGTCATCATACACCCCTTGCCCTCTCCCTTTGCTACGCTACTGATTCTAAATTATTCCTAAACAGGGACAAGACAGCGCTCCCATTTGACAACATTCTGTTACAGCTGAGGCTACTCCGCTTTAAAATATCTGTTCTTTTAGAATGATGCTTGGAATATTTTTAATCTTCAGTTTCTCTATTATTATACATCTGTACTTGATTTCCAGGAATAATGTAAATGCACAGTTAAAAAATAATCTGTTTCATTATATGATTCCAGCTAAGATTACTTACTCTACACTTTTTCAAATATGCATCCCTCATGTGATAGGAACACGAGTTCTCACTGTTGAAACTTTGATCATTGTGAAACTCAGTACGCGTTGTAGATTTCCTTATGGAGAGAGTTTTTAATACACAGTAAGCATACCAGCAATCTATTATCATATCACTCACGTATTTTTCATCGTTTTTTGAAACCATAAAGGTTTTATCCGATGCGATTGTGGTCAACACATAAGCTTGTCCTCTGCGATAAAATGTTTGTCTCTTGGCTTTTCAGGTTTTATAATCATTTAAATGCGTTCTTCTTCACATATCGAAGCATGTATTGATTAAAATTTACTATTTCTGACTGAGAGTAAAAATAAAAAAAATACTGAAAAACAAAGCAATTCTTCTACCGTGTTCTACCTGTATAACCTTTAAGAACATGGATCCGATAATTCGAGGAACCCGAGCTGCAAATATAAATTCATCGTTTTACAAGGTTCTCCTAAATTCTTTTTCTTTACACTGCAATTGAAGAATTCCTTTACATACAGAATATTTCGATACCTGTGAACCGAATTATGTGGCTTTAAAATAACACGTAGTTCATTCATAGCAATATTTCGGAATAAATTCACCCTCTGTCTTTCACACCGAGAAGAGCGTTCACGAATGATTTTATTCCAATTAAACTGCAAGCAAAACAGTAAAATAACAAGAAACCTAATATCAAATTTGTAAAAGGGAAACGTACAGTTATAACCACGCATGTGTTACTTGGATTGTTGCCAAGGGAAAAAAAATCACTCACTATTCAGTCTATTTTTAACGCTGGGACGATCATTAGTCAACAACTTTCTAGAGAAAGCTTAACAAAATGTTTTGTTCAAGTGAAATCCTAAAATCTACTCTGTATGTTTTCCTACTTTTCGGATTCTATTGTGCGAAAGGAAGAAAAAACTAAATGTGAAAAAACAGGTTTCTATTTTTTTTCTTTTTTTCTTTTTCCTATATTTCAAAGAACTCGTAAGAATCAGATTTATCTGTACGTCACGAATTTTAGCAAAACTAACAAAATTAAATACGTTTATTTCTTTCTTTTTAACGCAAAAATATGTATAAAGTCATACATACTTGCATGCTTGCATTTTTTTGCTTCAACATGTTTTTTTGCTTGAACATATTTCCTTCAACATGTATGCTTGCATTTTTATTCTTTAATAAATAAACTATTTATAGGATTCTAGAAAGTAAGTTTTTTACAGTAATTTATAAGTTTAAATTATACATAAATACTTTATTTGTATAAATGAGTTTATTAAATATATGAATAAGTTTATAAGTCAGGTATAAATACTTTAAGAAGAAGATTCATAAAGAAAATTTAGAACATGCATGAATAGAAATGAAAAAAAATCATAATTCTTAATGTAGTTTCCACAATGTTTAGTGCATGTCAGAATTTCCCTAACACCTTAATTACAGAGAAAAATCTCCCTTTTAACGATTATGTAGATCAGCGGCCGTTAATCAGATGTAGGCGCTGGTGTGTTTTGTCTCATTACCTCTTCCTAACAAGTTTTCTCCTCGACAAAAATCCTTGATAAGCTTCTGGAATAGCATACAGATGTCTTCAATACGAATACGTCATCCTTCAATGGATATCTGTTGTTTTCCGACACTAACAATTATCATCACTATCATTATCAATTATCAATTCAGTCATAACACTACATTAACTGTCATGCATGTATAAAATATTTAAGCTAACGTTTAACTGAATTAGTGATTAGTATTGTTGACATATTATTGAAAATATTAAATACATCATAATCATTCGAAAAATGAAAACCTCGTAACATACCCAGTGCCAATTTATATTACGTATGCGAAAACTGAAACATTCTGTTAAATTAGACCAAAAATGATTGTCTTATTCTAAGAAAGGAATTATTATCAAATGATAATGACTGATAATTTATCTAACATATCAACGTGATATGTAGATTCATATCTCAAAGATCATTTTCTGATATTTCATTCATAAGTGTAGAAGAATCGACTTACCAGTTATGCGAAAACATACCGTCTTTGAATATTTCGGAAGAATTTCTTTATAGCCTACAAAAATAAATAAAGTTGAAATGTCATAACGAAAACAATAAATATTTAACAAATATTTAAATTATAATTTTTTAATATTGTAAATATTTTATTTGCTTTAATATTATGCAAATTCATAATTGCATAATACTGAAAAAAATAATTAATTAAATTAAAATACTGTAACCAAAACAACAAATATTTGACAAATATTCAAATTATAATTGCTTTAACATTATGAATACAACCTTAACAACAGACAAATCAACATTTATACGTGACTGAAAGTTATTTTCATATTAATCGTTTGAGAATTAAATGCTTTTTAATATAATATAAAAAAAAATCTTTTAGCTTTGTTGTCACGATGCCTTTGAGAAATGATTTATTCTTAAACTATTGATTACTCTTAAGTATTGACCCCATTTTCACCGCAATCGATATTCGTTACATTTTCATAGAAAGTAATACGTTTGTGTTTCCAATAATATTTAACATTAAGAAAGCATTAGCTATTTAACATAGCTCCTATTAGCTTACTTAATAAGCACATTAATTGCTAACGACACTTAATCTTCACATACTGCACTATGTATTATAAACCAAATTTTCAGTTCTAATTCCTTTCACTCACAAGGGGCTAAGCATAAATTTCAAATGCGCATTATTGTTATTACAGTTTTGTGCAACATACGGCGTCTAAAAGTATTTTTAAATATCATTGCTTTATCCTGATGTGACATATATTTTGGCATTTATACACATTAGAATGAATAACAAATTAAAAACACATCCTTATAGAGTAAACTATGATATTAATTAATGTATTAAAAACACCTATAACCAGCTTCATACAAGTACTAGCACAATCTCAGAAATAATAAAAGATATCCTGCGAATATATATTATAGAACTATTTCCGCACCCTTTAGAGCAAACTTCTAGAGAGAAGCCAGACTTCTAGAGCGAACTCCATATTTCTAAAAACTAAATCTTTAGAATAAAAACTAATGTTTGGGAATACGCTGAGCTAAGAATGGTATCGGATTTTTTATGATAATGCAATTTTGATTAGGGTGCATGAAAAGACATTAGATTTGGGAAAGTAGGAAACGTATTTCAAAATTTATTCTTGTATAATTTAATTATTTCCTCTTCGGGAGGAAAATAAGCTCTGTTTTTCAAATTCATTAAAGGTTTACTGGGACTCTTACAGAAACACATATCCTAAGCACATAAATTACGTTACGTTTCATCTCATCGTTAATTAAAATTATATTTTAAATTATGATAATTTTAATACGATAAATATTTATGACTAAAAATTAATTTTGCGAACATTTCAACTGATACGTCTCAGGCAAAAATGTGAAAATACATAAGAGAATATGATGTATCCGCAAAAGGATTAAACCTTTCATAACTACTGACCACTAATTACTTAATGTGCACAAATGTTCACACGTTTTTTGGCGGAGGATAATAATACATTCTTCTATTTGTTTGGACTGTTGCTTCACATTTGGCTCCGCGGAGGTTCTTGACATATTTATACATTTATTTTGTATAACATTTATATTATTGTATAACATTTAAGCCTTAAAAGTAAAAGATATAAACATTGAAAACAAATACAGAAACTGGTATTTGTTTTTGTTTTTATGAGGGTAATGAGTGTTACGTTTTGTTTAACAGGGATTCTCTGTTTTTAAAAAAAGTGTTTATAAACAGATGGAAAAAAAGTCTTACGGCAGAGCAAAAAATACTGTACGTCGCAAAATGGCCCTTGTTTTATGTAGACATTTACCACCTATCTAAAATCTGATTACATTTGTTTAATACATATTTGTGCTTCCTTTTATTCATAATTCAGATATCAGCAATGTTACAGCAAATATTAAATGAAAATGAAAGTCTTGTTTATACTTAGTATCCTGGAATAGATTTTATATAGTGAATCTAAAGCACAGCTGGGTATAAATGTTTTAATCCAAACGAAACTATTAAAACTACTAAAAGCTTTTCTGAAACGTAAAGAAAAAAACTGCAATCAATGGTCAAATTTCATCGAACAAATAAATATAACAAATGAAAATAACGTAACATAAAAAGCTTAAAATCACGAACGTATTCTTAAATAAAACAAATACGTTTATAAAACATACTTCATTAAAGGCATTTCACTTGCTTTTCAAGATGTAGTACTCTGCTTATTAATTTCAAAATATAGTACTCTGCTTATTAATTTCAAAATATAGTACTCTGCTTATTAATTTTCGATTTTAAAGATGTTAGAAATCCCAGAACTAGAATTTAGAATCCCAGAACTATATTTAAACGGAAATTCTATAAAAAAGTACATTGTGAACATTTCATTTTTTCCTCTTAAGAAAAATAAGTACACGTTTTAAGCTAGAAGCTATAGAGATACTGCAAAATAAAATTCAAATTGTAAAAAAGATAGCATAAGATGTTAAACGCTTCCTACTTAAAAGCATCAATGGTGCCGTAGTTGATTGTATTGCTTCTTAGTGATAAACTTGTCAAACTAGTAGGAACCACAGCTCATTTCTAGGCATTGTTCTCTAAGTAAATTAAGTGCGACTTTAGAAACCTTCAGAGAAGACAAAGTTTGGAGCGTTTCTCTAATCAAAATAACAAATTTATTTGATTTATCGCTAGATACTGCTTCTAAGAACTGAGGAAAGTAGTAACTGCAAGGCTGAATAGCGTGCCTTCAGATCTTGTTTACAAAAAATAGAACAAATTACCACAAGCTGGAAATTTATGATGGAGATGATTTTAACCAACAAATGATTTTTAATAATGGGAAGAGTGGTCTCATAAAACTTGAACTGCCCATCAAAGAAAGTGAAAATTACTATTCATCAGATCTTGCATCCGTTCTAATGAATAGTAATTTTCACAGTTTCCAGCTTGGGTTCTAGTTTACAAATGAAGAATATTCGCCCGAACTTCTGATCCTAATTACCTGCGACGGTTTAGTCATGGTTTGGACAGTCATACCACAGCATTCTACAAACCCAATTATTACTCCCTAAGCTCGTGTCTCTGCCAAATATTACTTTAATATTTTAATTGACCAAACGATCTTATGATGCAGATATAGTTCTTCACAAGGTATGCTATTGATCAAGAAGATCCTAGATTTCATATCTGGCAGATGTGTTTTTCTAAGTTCATTGACGAGATTTCTGATCTTTCACGGCTGTTTCAATCACAGATCTCAATATAATAGAATGTCCAAGATGTGTGTGGTTTTGTTTCGAAGCACAAGGTTCGTGATCATTATCCCGCTTAAAACATCTTTACAGGAACAGACAAACGTTCCTGTACAGTTGCGTAGGAAAATGGCACGCAGTCCTACAATTCAACTTCCAAGATTTATATTTGCTCATTTCCCAGAAGAATTCTTTCAGACTTGAATGTTAAAGTCACTATTAATAAAGGAATTCTTCATTTTACCAGGCATAATATAATTTTGTCTAATCTCTGTATATGTCGTGCAGTTATCATAATATGATATTCCCTTAGATATTTACGCATTACAATCTTGGAAAGAAGATTTACTAGCTTCTAGACTGCAAGATTGAAAATAATTATTTATATTCAAGTATATAAAATACAAAATGAAATTTAAAAAATAAATAAATACGCTTGAAATCCATTCTATCTTTAACTCGGAATAAACCACGTGCAAAAACGAAAAAACATAAACACAGTGGCAAACGTCAAATAATGTGAGGGAGGAAAAACATACCAAAACTAAAAATGAAATATTATGTTTACATCTTTCACTGCGTCATCATCAAGGGGTTGGTGCAACAAAATAAATAAAAGATCTTGCTTATGAATTGACAAGAACACAAATTATAATTTAAAAATAATCTTAGAAAACTTTCAAAATAATTCAAATTGTACGAGATGATTTAAGCAGTGTAAAAAAATGTACCATCAAAAAAGAGACAAATTCAAAACAACTGCGAAATAATAAACAAATTTAAAAAAAACTGCACTGCTTACTTCGACCTGTTGGCTGTGGCCGCCTATTAAGTGCCTCCACAATAAAGTGGTCACCACTTCTGGCCTTAGTAGTGTCCGCCATTGGGAGGGGGGATTCGGCCCGTTGGGGTTGAGTTGATAAAGACACAGATTACTTTGATAGTTTTTCTAGGGTTTTTGTTTTACTAAGATTATTTTTGAATTTTCAGTTTTAATTTGTGTCCTTCTCAGTTTAGAAACATACTGTTTTATTTATTTTCTTCTTTCGTTGCACTAATCCCTGATGAGGAAGCAGCGAAAGATGTAAATATCATTTTTGGTTTTGACATGTTTTCCCTCCCATTTGAGGTTAGCCCCTGTGCTTTTTTTAATTCTTGTATGTGGTTCATTCCGAATCGAATATGGGCTGGATTTTAAAGGTATTTATTTTTTATATTACTTTGCATTATTTTTTATATTCTTGTATGTTGTTCATTCCGAATCGAATGTGGGCTGAATTTTAAAGGTATTTATTTTTTATATTACTTTGCATTATTACCACCACTTGTTGCTGCTATCAGCGCACAGTTGATTTAGGTTTTGAACTATATTTTTACTTTGAATTTATTGCTCTATCTTTCGCACATCAGCCTTGGGTGCGATATGTCCCTCCCCCGGTCTTACACTGGACGACAGACGGCAAAGGCTAAGTGACAAGTCTAAACAGCAGCAAGACGAAGTAGAAAAAAGGAAAGAAGCGAGTGCCCATTCAGAAAAATGGTAAAAAGGTTCTTTAATCTGATTGTGTAAGGTCTATCGCATTGCAGGATTACATAAGCAAGCATGAAACTGATTAATTGTTAAAGACACAGTCTAGCAAAATTATTATAATTTCTACCTTTAGAACAGAAAAGGGAGATATACAATTTAAAATGAAAAATATGGGTTATTGTTAATTTAAGTTACATAATTTTGAGTTTCATATTTTATATCTTACATATTTATATTCTGTGATA